AATTTCAAACATTGCTGGTAGCTCAAAGCAGAAAGGAATCATGGGAAGAGTCATGGGAAAACGAGTCAAACCATGTCACATTGCTTTTGACTAACGCTAAGATATAGTCCACAGAAAATCTATAATGCTGGTAGTTTGTGTAACATGTTGAGGAAAAATGGCAACAACAAGAAGTACAACTTTGTCTCCTAGCCAAGCATCTATGCACTTTCTTTTTCCTCTTTGTGCAGGAAGGTGTTACAGCAGAATAGACAGAATCTATGCAAACACACTGTGAAAGCAGACAAAACCACAGCTAGGCTCAACAAACAAACACAATTCATGACATGGAGCCTTTAATATGCATCTTCGAGGCATACAGTAAACTAACAGTAAAAAAAAAGGCAAGTTTCTACATTCATTGGGATGCATTATGTTTAATTCTTCTAGGGATGTCAAATCGATTAATCACTATTAATCGCATCCAAAATTAGTTTTCGTTTACACAATATATTTGTGTGTGTACTGTGTACAATATATTTATATGTATACAAACACAAGCACATACATGTATATTTTTAAGAAACATTTACGTGTGTGTGTGTGTATATATATATATATTAAGATATGAATTTATATATAAATTTATATATCTTAAATATATACATGTATGTGTGTGTATTTATATATACATATAAATTATGGCTGTCAACGTTAACGCGTTAACGGATGCAATTAATTTTACAATCCTTACTGTGTTAAAAAAATTAAACGCAAAATTACTGAAGCACAATTTCTATTCTAACCCTTTAACCCAATTTTGCTTCTCTGTTTGCGATTAGATAATTTTAAGCCGCTTAACTCCGGGAAAGTTTTCAGTCCAATGATCCAGTAAGGGAATGATTGTCAACACATCCCACCGCTGTATGGCCAGATGAGACATAAACTATGGTTTCTCGACTTGATAACCAGTCTCACTAGTAAAGTTTTGATGGATGAAGACTGCAATCAAGGTAAAGACGATTGCGGTGGCGTACAGGAGTCATACAGTTAGCACATGTGAGTCCGTTATAATAATGCGTGTATGAGTGCTCTTGACGCACTGGTCGCACATTGCATTTATGCACAGGCACAGACATTTCCGTTTCATTCACGTTGTTTCCACACACATTCACGATAATGTTTCGATTTGTCATGTGTATGTTGCTGTGTTTAGTTATACTGAATGGATCCGTGTACTGTAGTAGATATATGCAGTCAGCCGTTGGTTGGATTAGGGTTTTTTTGGCATCACAATGTGTTCCTGTTCGGTATCGCAACTTGACTTTTCTAAAATGTAAAAAAAGCTATTTGCTGTTGCACTGTACACATGCTATACAATTCAAATCAAAACTTTTTTTTTTTTCTATCATATGTGCTTATATGGGCTCCTTGTATCATTCGGTTCTTTGGTGTCCTTTTGGAGTTTCCTTTTGGAGTTTTGGAGCTCTTTTAGAGTCCTTTTTTGGAAAGACCTCTATATTTATCTTGAAAAAAGCTTGCAGAAAATACAGATTTTTGAGAATCCCCCTTCAATCTTTTGGTTTACTTTACTGAATATAGAAAATGATGACAAAATAAACATCTGAAACAAGATAAATGGTCTATGCTATGGCTGTCAACGTTAACGCGTTAACGGATGCAATTAATTTTACAATCCTTACTGTGTTAAAAAAATTAAACGCAAAATTACTGAAGCACAATTTCTATTCTAACCCTTTTTTTTTTTAAGTTGCCAGCCACCACCAGCGATTTTGGTGATTTTCAATCAAATTTGATGGCCTCCAGTATATTTTGCTGTATGAATATTTGAATATGCAATACATCAAAATAAAGATCAGAGCTCTACTTTTAAACAAAAAAAAATCTGTTTTATTCTAGCTTAAAGCAACTACATCTGGATAATATTCAGTCCGATTATATAAAGCATAAATCCAGTAAATCGCTTCCATCAATACCTCCAAAGCTTGCACAGGCATATACCACTTCCTGGATCAACATTTTACTCCGTAACATTATGCAGTTTTCATTTATATGCTGTCTATTGCTGATGATCGCATTATTTTTCATATGCATCTGTTTACATAAGAGATCGCTTGTCTGCTGTAAATAAAATTAAATGTATTCTTATTATTCCAAGCATATTTTATAATATATAATCCTATTTATTATTTAATTGTTTAAATCTCCTGTTTAAGGAAAATAGACGCGCTATAGTTGTATATAATTCTACTCGATCCTATATATTTGTTTATAATACACATTTTAAAACTGTATTGCATACCTGCTGCTGCCATAATAAAGACCCATTTCGAATGTTTATGTGCTTTTCTTTTGTCGACGTGCAGTCGCTCTGGTGGAGCAGTTATGAAGTATTGCCCTTTTAAATACTTTCCAGCATTTCAGAAATAAATATGTATGCAAATTACACTGAAGTACAACGTTACCTTACAGTGTTCGGGAGTGCTCAAAAAGGGTTTAAACTGAATTTTCAATCGATTTCTTCTCGTAAACTCAGAGATGTGGATTCAGACGGCAATTAAATTACCACACGACCTTGGTGTTTGTCAAAAACAGTAGGCAATTCGGCCGGGGGTGGTGAGAGAAAAACACCGACATCCTGGATTTGGACGGCAATTAAATCACAGACTACCCCCTGTAAATGGTGAAAATCACTTACATCCCCCTGAGAAACAATTACCGCCCTAATAGGGCTTTAGTCTAGTCACGTCTTGTTTCCTGATTGCCTGTTTCCTGATTACCTGCCTGTCTTGGATTTCTCTCTCGTCTTGTCATCTGGATTCTGTTCGCACCTCGCTTGGATTTATTATCTATCTATGGATTACTCGCTTGCCTCAACCTTTGGATTATGTTCGCCGTTGATCGACCTACGCCTGTTTATCGGATTACTCTTCTGTCTTGCCCTCTAAATACCTGTTTACCATTGTCCGACCCTTGCCTGTTTTGACTATGTTTTGGAATAGAGCTTTGCACATGGATCTGCCCGTTTCTCGTCTCAGTCGTCCCATAACAGCTATTATGCGGTATCAAATTCAGCACGTCTTCATGAGTAAGTCATACAATCATTCATTCAAACAACTCATTCAACTATATGGAGTTAATCACAGAAAATTAAAAATTTTAATTATTGACAGCCCTAATATAAATAAACACAGTACACACACAAATATATTTTGTAAACACAAACTTTTATTTTGGATGCAATTAATCACTTTGACAGCCCTAATTCTTACAACACAAACTACTGTACAAAAATCATGACTTACCTGTAAGTAAGTTCAGTATTTACTCAAGTAAATATCGTATTATAATCTCCCTTTTACCTATACGGTGCACAACATCAAATGCCAGAAATTTTTTTCTAATGTTGTCCGAATTCTGTAGTGAACAATTCCATGTCCTATATACTGTAGTTCACGATGTGCATTATAATGCCAATAACGTAATAAACTGATGAGTGGCTAAAAAAAAACACACACTTTAATAAATCACTAATTTGTTTTAAAAAACACATTTAAACGCAGAAAGGCAAAATTATACAGATCATTTTGTAATAAGTGATTAAACCTACCTAAATGCCAAGTGTTTTATCTTTGTTCACTAATTAATTTACTAGGGGAACATTATTGTTAATGCAGAAGACTCTACACAGAGGAAATGATAATTAGTGGATAAGTCAAATATTCAGTTATGTCCTGCAGGTAATATATTCTTCTATGTTTAATTAATCCATGTTATTGATAACTCCATTACTGCTTTAGGAACTGATTAGAATGCATCTCTTCTCTGAGAGCAGAAACACTGCATAGATTGTTGTAGAGTTTCAAGATACTTTAAAAAAACTAAATATATATATTTTTAAAATGTATGTTTGTTCATATAGTTAAACAATGATATATAGGTTAAATACTTAAATAGGTGTTTTTTTCCCTATTCATATTTTTGTGACAATTCATTTTCAACAAGATTGTTAAGGGTTTTGAAATTGAATAAGTGTTGACTAGCAATGGCATTGGAAAGCATAGACCACCTTCTAGTAAAACAGAAGGACGTCAACATAATACAACAGCACATTTCCTGTGTTTAAACAGGTGGGACACACACGCAATGTTCTGATGAGTCAAAGGTGCACATAAATGTGACCAAAGCTTTTGTGTAGCTGTGTCTGATGTACTCTCTTTGCTTCAATCTGCTTCTCAACATGAAACATGGGAAATTCATAAATTTGAGAATTTGAGTCAAGTTTACTGCATACATTTTTAAATGTAAAGTTTGGATGACTCACAAAACAACCCACCAAAATATTATAATTCCTGCATATATCCCTTGTGCTGTGCTTAAAATCCTTTCTGGTCTAATTTGGTGTTCTTGGTCAAAAATGACCAGCCTTTTAAAAACTGCTTGTAAATTTCACATTTTGCTATGTTATTCTCAAATTCAGTCTTTTTGTCAGCTTGTTTTATTTCAGTGAGTGGTAATTGGCTGCATTGGTCTTTTATTGATTTAATTGATTGATTTTATGCACCTTTATAATAAAAAGCTTTATTTTTAGTCCAATACAATAACATTAACCATCATCTTCAGGAAAAAGAAAATCTTCTATATACAGTATGTGGGAAATAAGGAAACTATATATATAT